CAGGACAGGTCTTCTTCAGGTTATTTTTGGAAGTTATGGAGGCCAAATTGTTCCTTCTTCAACTGGAATTAATATCACTTTTTGCTTCATGATATAATTGGAAGATTCAATAGCTATTGTGATTAGGAATCTAGTTGCTGATTTATACTCGTGTAAAATTATAATCCCTTGATTGGAAATGCATGTTCTTGAAGTTAAATTGATACTTAATTTGCAATAAAATCCACAACTATCCAACATCTATCTTTAGAATAGAATCAAATTGGTAATCAAAATCGACAATGACTTTGGGTGAACACAAAATCATTGATTTGCCTGAAATTGAAACACATTTTGAGAAAAAGGTATATGTTTTACATGGCAGAAAGGAAGATTTACCTAATGCCTTATTGGCTGATTTGCCTTGGCCTAGTAAAGCAAATAACTATATTTGCACATTCCATACAATAGAATAAATCGAATAATAATTGAATTTGGAATAATTGCTCGGATTCAGAAGGACACGCATCACGACCATGTCTAATAAATTCTAAAACCAAGAGATAAACATCAAATCGAATGAAGATCAGAATCTTGAAAGAATAAGTGAAAGCGATTGTTCATCAGTTATAATTCACCTAATAAAAAATCAGAAAAATTTAATGGAATATGGCTAGATAAGAATAACACATAGAATACAATTCAAATTTCAAATTGGAAATTGGTATCTTCAATGAAAACCTTCTCACCTAGTTTGGAAACGAGTGGAACAAATTTTATTCAAGTATTTCAGAGACGCAAGAATATAATGTCAATTGTATTTATTATTTATTATTTATTTTAGAGTGTGCATTTTTTGATCGACTTGTTGTGGAGAGAAACGACTGCTCATGTTAAAGTAGCATTCATAAAGATAATAGTACTGATAATAGTACTGTATCAATGAGGGGTTGAACATTCATCAGGTTGAATAAGTATTTCGATATTTTGGAAACATTTTCGATATAAAAGTCGAAATTCCGAGATAGAAGTCGAAATTTTGATCGACTAATAATAAAATAAAAAAAAATAAGTCGTCTATTTTTCACAAAATTTGCCAACCCTCGATGATATTCACAAACCTTCGAGGTGATTACACACGCAATATAATATTTATTGAAATATTTCGATACCAAATTGAGATGATGATTTTGGTGACCTATTGTGCCATGTGATTTGATCCGCTACACATTCGTAATAATCCAATTTTAGCCGTATTCAGGAATCCGGTTGTCTTGGAAAATAAATATTTACCTTAGTAACGTCTAAATTTAGAACCAGAATAGATATATAGATCCTTATTCTATATATAATTATTGTTTTACGTAAGTGTATAAATGGTTATCGACCCCACTTTTCCAAAATCTGCCAATTGGACCAAATAATATATTATGTGAAAAAAATATCTCCACAACTGAAAATGGCAACGAACTACAATGCAAACCAGGTGAGAGCTTCTTTCCCTATATCAATCTCATATGGTGATAATTAAAATTTCACAACACACTTTTCCAGGAAATGCTTGATGATATACTGATCATCAATGATTGATCAATGGGCTTGTTCTTCTCATTTTCATTATCAACCAAATTGAATGTAGGTATATTTTGCTGCTAAAATCGTGAAATTGAGTCAATTAATTGAGTGGTCTGCTGTGCAATGAATATATTATAGACCGGGGGTCACGTTGGTGAATTTTATTGTATTAAAAAATCCGGGGTCTCGAATCATTATTAACCGTTCGGCGTATGTCGCAACTTACTTGTAAAGCTTTGGCAAACAATTTTTACTTGAAAGTTATCATTTGTTAATGTGAATTCAACTAATTATTCACTAAAAGTCAAGTTGATATATGATCGCCGAACATTTTGGTTGGTTCGAAGGCAATAAACCGCACCCCCGCGTAATTTTGTCCCAAAGCGAGCGGTGTGTATGCGTTCATTATACATTAATATTCGGTATTGATTTCTTGTTATTTTCAAATACAATGGAAGTATACAAAATATATGCCGAATAAATCAATTGGATATTGACCTTCGTATAGTCTTAAAATCAAATTTTCGTAAACAATGTCATTTGTAAACGTTTCGGAGATAGTGTTTTATGAAATTCATAGTAGGTATAAAATATGTCATTTTTTTAACCCCGAATATATTGATTGGGCGGTGACATTTGGTGGGTTCTTATACTGCTGAGTGTGAACAATTGATACGCAAAAAACACGTTGTGGGCTCCCGGTCTATTACAGATATTAAGACAAAACATATATTAATTGTTCAAATGAATATGTCACTTCTTATCAAGTGCGTATGAACAATTTTTTTGTAGCACTATCGAGTATGCAAATACTTTATCAATAATAATTGTGAGTATACATCAAGTAGTTTTCAAAGAGAATTGTTAATTTCGATTCATGATATTGATATATTTTTGGGTATATATGAGAAATAGTTCGTGCATTTTTTCCACTTATATACGGTAGAGATAAGTTGAATATAAAGAATAGGTAGGTACTTATACTCGGGAACTACCTATATCTCGCGCGCTTCATATCGATATATGATGTATGAACGTCATACCAGTATCTGGAAGTCTGAAATAACAATAAAAAAATTATTCACATTTAAAAATGGTTTTTGAGGAATAATTATAAAAACATTCAATACACAAGGCCACTTGACATATTTTGCACTGAACACTACTTCTCTCCTGTTTGAAGACTTGATGATAGATATACATTCATTGAACCCGCGAGATGTTGTTTTTTCGGAAAGGTGACCTTTTGCATGAGAAAGGATTAGAAAATTAGAAGAAATAGAATGTTACTAATGGAATACACTGAATGATATTTACGAAAGAAAACGAATGAATGAATTTCGTATTTTGCCTAGTCCTTCCGAGCGCATGAATATATTATAATGGCTAACATTCAATGGTATAACGGCTGACATAAATATATGGAAAAACACAGAAATGACTACACATGAGTATAAGTCTCAAAACGGTTTTTTTATAACTTTTTAGCAATGGGATGTTTGTCACACATCATATTCGGATCACTGGAATTTATTCGTTTTTCACTATAATCCAATGTATTTCCATAGCTAAATCAGCTGATAATTTTACTGTATACCAATATACTGACCAAATTATATTTGACATACATATGTATAAAATAATGTGATCAATTCAAAATATTGCGTGAAAGTTGTTCCAGTAGAGAAATGATGATTTTTAGTGTGTCACAACTGCCCGTTGGTAGCTTATTCGACCAGACGCACGTGTACTACCAACTGTAGTGCATTCTGTGTAACATTGGCTATTGAATCGACCAGCGAATGTTCAATGGTACAATTGTTTACCAGTGAGCTTTGAAAAGAATAAGTAGATAATACTGAGAGCGCGCGTATCGTACCAAAATTTTGAAGAAACCCAAATTGTAGTATAATAGGATTTACAAGAATACTTAAATTAGTGGAAAGGTAAGAAAGTGTCTGCTGAAAAATTAGAAATTAAGAATCTATTAGAGATCGTGGTTTTCCATATTTTTTTTCTCCTAAAATCAGCTCTTGAGATTTCAAAGACTTAAATTGAGAGAATTTCGGGGAAATCTGATAGGAAAAGTTATCTGAATAAGCCCTAATACCCTTTACCCAAAGAAGCCTTTTAATCTCCCTATCTGGGTGTATTCATGAAAAGCGCCATCGCCAACACACTGTATATGAAATTTGGTAGAAGTTCATATTGCCCTTATTGCTCGAAGGGGAGTGACATTTTCAAAAGGAAGGAATCTGACTTCGAGCATTCCTTCCTTCCTTAGGGACAAAGTATGTATGTTTGTGGGCTGTCCTGGACCTGACGCACTGAGGCCACACTTTCGGGCCCATTGTACACCCACATTCCTGGGATCGCAAGTCAGCCATAGGAATATGGCCGATCTTGCGAGCAAAAGATAACGATTTCCTAGGCCAAATCTTTTTAACATCATCTGGGTTCAGGATACTGCCCCCAAAATGGATATCCCTTGCTGCTACTACTGCCGGGCATTCAGTAAGAATGTGAGTAGAAGTCTCTTCATCCTCTGAAGCACCATCTGCATTCAGGACCCTCCACACTCCCGATGGTGCTGTGATGCTTTTTCAAGTGGCAGTGTCTTGCCCGAAGTCCCAGTGTGAACTCCTTCCTGTTCAATGCCAAGAGTGCATTGGTCTGTCTTCGTGACCGATTTCCCATATGGAGTTTGGACTGCCTCATTTCAGGAGCATCTCTCAAGCTGTCCTGGATCCTTTCCATCTTGATTTCCTTCATACTGAAGTTTCTGTAGGATCGAGTGATCCCCAAGTCTGGCTCTGGACCAATCACTGAGCTCCTCGCCCCCTTTCTGGCCAGACCATTGGCGATTTCGTTATCAGGTACCCTTCAGGGCTCATAGGGACCCACAGAAGGCATACTTTGTTAGTTGCCGACAGCCTTTGTAGGCTATTTATGCACTTTGACACCAAAACGAGGTGAGTGCCTTGATCGATGCCTGGCTATCAGTGCATATGGTGATTTGTTGGCTGTGATAGCACCTTTCGATATTCGCTTGAACACAGGCAAGTATTGCGAATACTTCATCATGAAAAATCGTGACATATTTCTCGAAGGTATAGTAATGACCTATACCCTTGGGGACTGCCCATAACCCCAGTATAGCAGTGTATATATATTACGATTCATTGCACGAGTATTCCACTTGAAGAAGCTACTGTTTAGCGTGAGAATAGTATTTATTGTTTCTGAATTGTTTGCGCTAGAATCGCTAGATAATCGTTGAATCAAGGTTCGTGTATATACCCATTGGGCAAGTAGTTGATATAGCGATGATTCGAAGGCTGAAACAACCCTGAATGATTTTTTTAATTATCTCAGTCTCGAAGAAATTTGAGAGGAAACCAAAAACACACATATTATAACAATTATTGAAAGAACGAATGTACGCATAAATCGTAAAAAATATATTTCGAACCTACAGAAATAACTTAACAGACGGAAATCTAATGGTGGTATACCGGAGCAGCAGCAGCATATGCAGCCACAGCAGGGGCTGCAACTTTGGCGACATGCGCATGTAGAGGTTCCCTACGGACCACGGCATTAAACCCGTGGATGGGATCGGCGGTATAATCTACGGTCCTTCTGTGACCATCTGGATCCACCAATGAGTAGCTGCCTTGGACTGCATCCCCCTGCCTCTGCTCACTGTGGCTCTTGCTGTCTCCAGTCAGACCGTCCTGGACATCATACCCATAGTTGTATTGGGGGTTGGGGTCGTAATCCTCAGATCCAGCTACCTTGGCGACTGATGGGACCTGAGCGTGGTAGACTGGCGATGCTACTTTTGCAAATGATGGGGCAGCTGCGTATTGGACTGGAGCGGGTGAGTATTTCACAGGTGATGAGTATTGGCCTGGAGCTGCTGAATAGCGGGCAGAAGCCGTTGAGTATTGGACAGGGGTTGACGAGTATTGGACCGGAGCTGCTGAATAGTGGGCAGGAGCTGACGAGTATTGTAATGGAGCTATTGAATAGTGGGCAGCGGCGGCTGAGTATTGGACAGGGGCAGACAAGTATTGGGCCGGAGCAGCTGCATAGTGGGCAGGAGCTGACGAGTATTGGACTGGAGCTACTGAGTATTGGACAGGGGCTGATGAGTATTGGACTGGTGCGGCCGCATAGTGACTAGGGGTAGCTGATGTCTGTTGGACAGGAATGGTGGTAAGAAGACCTGCGTTTGCAGCTGCTAGGAATGCGCCAAAGAATATTACCTGGTGGAACAAACAAACAATAGATGCATATTAAATTTGGTAGAGTTGGTGAATCACATAAAATTCATTGCAATTCTGATTTTTGAGCTCCTTATGAAGCCTGATTCATTTGGAAATTCGTTTTACTCAGATTATAATACCTACTCCTAATTTTAGTTTATTATAAATTATATAAATTATCGTGGGTAATATCCTGAGACCATGACATACTATAGCCGACTATCATTTCTCTCATAATTCCATCGAGAGTACCTTGTACTTTGACAATTAGATGAGACCATATGAACTATGGACGTATAAAATATGAACATTAATTATCTGATTCTCTGATTATTAATGTTCATATGGTCGACTTGAATTGTCTCAAAATACAAGGTACTCGAGATGAAATAAAGAAAATAATGGTCTCTATATGTCATGGTCGAGTGATATTAAGGAAGATTATTTCATGAACAGTATAAAAATACAATTCATCTAAAGTAAGTGCTTCTGAACTCTCCTTTCTTATTTGGGGAAAATATTGCAGGCTTTGCTTTTTCGCATTATGCGCATCCCTGGCATCTTTGAATTCGATATCTTCAAATGGATTTATTTCACGTTCATGTTCAGGAAAGTATACTTCCTGTACAGGTTTCCATATCAATTCAACTGTGTATTCTTTATATTCCTCACCATACTCGTCACCCAATCTTCCAGGATTTTGGCGATCACGAGAGTTGGGGAAGAGTCGCACAAAATTCATAGTTTTTCTGCTGGCAAAAAAACAAAAATTGTTCCAGGCATACTTCTTACTCTTCTTGGTATTTTCTGATATTGATTCGCTCACATTATTACTGCTGATTTCTGTAGTGGAAGTAGACCCAAAACGAGACATTTCAATTTTTAAGTGACTGATATAAAATGTCAAACTTACTGGTGTCAAACTTTGACAACCATAGCACTCTTCTGCTGTCGAACAGAAAAACCGCTCATCATATTATGTAAGTTTACCTAAATAGCCGCTTATATCGCATATATCGAAGACTGGAACCTTTGGCACGATAATCTTCTACACACTGTATAACCACTAACCAAACCGATTTTTTACACACAGTTGAATTCATATATAGGTTTCCCCAGGAGAAATCAAGGTAGGTATAGGTACCTATATGATTTACATGGTATATGGGGTAGGTGGAATTAACTATGTGAACCCAGAATTTCTAATCATACTCTTACAGCTTCCAGAAATTCTGAATTCATCAAGTTTTTGAGAATGTTGAAAAATTGACTCACTTTCATAAAAAATATTATTTCCAAAATAAAAACTCACCTTGCTGGCTGCCATTTCTGTACGTTATACTTAGATCACGATGAAATGATGAATATCATGAATGGTTCGACACTTTTATACAATGAAAAAGTGGATCAACGTATGTGAATTCGGATCGTCACGCCCATATCAAATTTTGATCTCAAAAAATGTACGTAATACCTTATGAAATCCAATGTGTTATATTATATGTGTGATGTCGAATATATTCGATACATATATCGAAACATCATTTAGAATTTCGATGAAGGCAAAACCCATTTGTCTACTGATGCGCATTACATAACTAATAGATCATAAAAAAGAATTATTGTATCAATCGTATTGATATGTAATTTATGACCAAAATGTTGAAAAACGGCCTGGGATAGTGATCAAGTTTGAATTGAATCATGTGTGTTTGTGATTTTTTTCCATTTATCACTACCCAAAATAAAAGTTATAATTACTGAAAACAAAGATCCAAACATTCTTCTTTTGAATGTTCTAGTACCTAGTCTAATACGATATTTCAAAATTTTCGAACAAGAAACAGTTACTTAATTCAAAAAGGAAGGTTTGAAACATTTTCAAAAAAATTATAATCATTTCGGAAACCGCTAGACATTAGTTGAAATGTTTGGAAGAAGATGGTGCCCTTACAAGGCTGGATGTCATGGTTACATTGGTCAAAAATTGACGACACATTTAAGGTTCTTGTTCATAGGAAATCCGTAAGAGGCGCAGATATCGTCATATTTTTATTGGCTATCGGACCAAATAACAATAATCACAACAAAACAATACAGAAATGGTACAGCAGTGTTGCCTACCTCTTTTGATAGAAATTCTCTAGAAAGGCTAAAGAAATTCCCATGTATGATTCAACATTCCCCGAGAGTTGAAGATGTATTCTGCCAAGCAAAAAGATCGTACCTATCTGACATTTTCGTCAAAATTGAGATAAATAATATATTTGTCGTATCTCGAAACACACATGCACACTCTGGCAAAGTCTCAAGTGTCGTAGTTGCAAAATGACGGGCACAAATCATGTTTCAAATTTGTCGAATCTACAATGTTTGAGCACCCGTAAACATTTTACCAAGCTCGTCAGATGTCGTATATGACAATATGATTAGATTAATTTCCGGTGAGAAATCATATATTATTATTTCGATATTCTTCCAACAATATACTTGATGAGGTCACGACAATAATCTATTCGACATTCTCACTATTTTCTTCCAGAATTGTTGTTATTATGTTCATTTTTTTGATAAAATTGATTATAGGCGAGCGGACTATTTCTTTTATTTCTTAAATAGAATCACTCGAATAACTTTCAATTCAATAATTTTTCGGAATTTTTCGGTCGATTTTAAGGTGTTGAAATCATCAATAATGCCACGGTGATTTTCAAGCGGTTATAAAAATTTACCGCGGGTAAAAACTGCCGTCACGATTTCGTAAGTAGGGACAGACCATAGCACAGTTGCCATATGTAGAAATACGATTGGGAACTTCCAGAAATATCAGTTGTTCAATAATTTATAAATCCTCAATTATGTATTGGTAATATTCCTAATTAGCAATGAAAAATCAATTGTCTCAGAATATTCCCTCATGTGTTGTGACTTATTGCTCATAATACATTTGTGTAAATAATAATTATTTTATTCATTCACACTAGAGGACATTTGAACCAGTGAACGTGACAACACGGCGCAGGAATTGTAAGCGGTGCCTTGTCAGTTCTCAGCAATCAGCAAAATGTTGCCAAGTCTTCAACATTCACATGATCTTCTGTTATGGCGTATAAAAAATAGTTGGATATGCTGGTTACTCAAAAAAGTCTAGAATTAACTAAACTACTCAACACTAATTTCGTCGCACACCAAAATGTCGCCCCTGTTATAATGTGAATAACTTTTTTCAGTTTAGAACAATTTGAATTTGGTTCAGACTGTTCGATAGCCCAGTCCTTCAGCTATAATCTGGTACTTCATTGAAACATAAGGGTATTCACATAAAATCTCTACATGGTGTTTTCCGACACTGTGCAAAATTTCGGAATATTCAAAAGGCTCTCTAATGGTGAAAACAATTTTTTTCTCAACTTCGACAACAGAGGCATGAAGATGATCTCATTACCTCGAGATATTTCGCGAATCAACTTCCTATCTCTCTTATTTACAGAGTGATCTCAAAAAATCAACTTTTTGGTTTTGCAGCCATAACTTTTTTCCACGTCAACCGATTTTGGAAATCTTAGGCTCATTTTGAAGATAAAACTTCAGATGGGGAGATCTGAATATCAGAATTGACTCGAGATGGCTATCAAAGATCTAGAGTTTTCTTGAAAGTGACCCAAATCTGGAACGCCCTCCGAATCTCGGTTGGGAGGAGAATTGAATGAAAATCAACTTGTTCTCGGAAAAACAATTCATTCTGGATGCGTCCATATTTTCCTCGCTCTCAGTACTCAAGAATGTGCGTGAGAAATTACAATTGAAACATGTTCTTGCAAAAACATCAGACCATTTCTCCTCTGTAATGTATGGCCCGTAACCAACGTTACAAGAATCACAGTAAGTGACTGACAAGTCAGGTTTGACGTCGTTTTCGAATCATAAACAGATTTTGATAGTTTCGATGCCGCATCTAACGCCCGACCAGTTGGAACTGATTCCACAAATGAGGGAACAAGGGTTATTTTCCCTCCAAATCGCGGATCTGCTGAACACGACAGTCCGATCCATTCAAAGGGCTTATCTCCGACACGAATTGTTTGGTTATTACTGTCGATTCGTTCGGAGCATTATTGCGAATGAAAACTTTACGTAATTGTCAAACTGTTTTCGTGAAACTTTCACCATTTTTGAAATGCGTTTTTACAATAAATAAACGTTGTTTGCTTGAATACTTCTCCATATTCTTAAATCGCATGTTATATACGTGACAACTGTTAAAAAAATCACTTTATTGAAAAAATCAGAATCTGTTGCTCTTGTTGGTACACCATTTATGATGAGCCTCAGCTGGTCGGGTTTTTTTCACCATTTGAGAGCCTTTTGAATATTCCGAAATTTCGCACAGTGTCGGAAAACACCATGTAGAGATTTTATGTGAATACCCTTATGTTTCAATGAAGTACAAGATTATAGCTGAAAGACTGGGCTATCGAACAGTGTGAACCAAATTCAAATTGTTCTAAACTGAAAAAAGTTATTCACATTATAACAGGGGCGACATTTTGGTGTGCGACGAAATTAGTGTTGAGTAGTTTATAATATCATGGTTTCCTCCTATTATGTTTTATTCAACGACAGGACATTAATTTATTTTCGATAAGTTGATTATAATTAGTGACTTCACAACCTTGCTTCATGAATGGAAATGAAAGATTATCTGACCAATAACGAAACAGCATAAAAACTGACGCCATTATTTATTCGACGTATCGCCAAATGGCGGCCATGACGATATACATTTGAAATGAGTTCTTGTATTCAACTATTTTGAACAATGCATATACGCATTATTTACATGAAAATCCGTGAGAAGTGTTGTGTAAATAAATTTAGGTCACTAACGACAAAGTGGAGTAATTGAATGCCAATAATTCATTATCAGTCCATTCGCATTCAACATCAATATTATTGATATCGAAAAAAACTCTCATGAAGATATTCAAAAGTTCTAGATCAAAATCATGGACGGTACTGATACATACAGAAAAACGGGATTATCTGAGAATCGAGAATTTGTCAGATATACGAGCCTTTTGCTTAGCACGGCAGTATTCTTGAATATTTTCAAAATTTTCAGCTTGCTTTTCAGTTATTTCTTCCCGTTTTTGAAGCCCGGAGAAAAATCATTTTTTCACCAAGAAGAACGTTTATATCTATCATAGCTGATTTCAACTAAAAGTCATAGTACTCTCTCAGAATATACTGCACCTGCAACTGGTGTATAGCTCCCATATTTGAAATTTTGCAGTGGCCAGTGGCAACTGATGGAGAGACGAATAGTCTATATCTTCTCATGAATTGAGAAGAAAAGACAGTGCCAGTTGGTTGCCCGGCCCTGGTAATTTGTCCTGGCTGACCCCACTTCTGCACGGTCCTGGCTGCTTTAACTTTAACATAATTTGGTATATATTTCATATACTAACTCCTCTTCTATCATTCATAATTAATCTTCATGCTCAGTATCAAAATATTTCATATTTTTATACGACTAATACTCCAGCCTGGAGAAATGAAAACCATAATGTCATAGTAAATAATATTCATTATGCCAACCATTTAGCATTCAGGAAGCCATGCATAGCGTGATCAGAAGTCGGTAACCTAGTTATTCTGTCGTTTGTCTTCTATACATAATGTATCTATCATAAATACAGGGTGCCTCATGTGCATATCATGAAATTATTGATACAATCTCGAATAGTTAGTACTGAAACTAATATCTAGTAATAATTATAAAGAGAAGACGTATACACCGCACACCGCGTGCATCACCTACTGCAATTAATTATTTCGGAAAACAAATATTATTTATAATGTTGCGCCTTTTGGGCTCTCGTGTCTATTGCCTGGCAACAAGTTATCGAATATCTGCCGGTTCCTAGGAGTTACAGTTCAA